TCAGAATTTAAAAACAAGAAATGACTGCTGTGTTTGTAACAAGAATGTGCAATTTTTACAAGCAGAGCCTCCCTACTCTCCAGCAGATCAACACTCCCACCCAGCTTGGTGTCATCTGCAAACTGACTGAGGGTGCACTCAATCCCCTCGTCCAGATCACCTATAAAGGTGGTAAACGGCACCAGCCCCAGTACCGAGCCCTGGGGAACACTGCTAGTGACCGGCTGCCAACTGGATTTAGCTCTTTTGACCACAACCCTCTGCGCCCGGCCATCCAGCCCATTTTTTACCCATCCAAAAGTCCACCTGTCTAAGCCACGAGCAGCCAATTTATTTAGGAGGATGCTGTGGGAGACCATGTCGAAGGCCTTACTAAAGTCTAGGTAGATAACATCCACAGCCTTTCCCTCATCTACGTAGCGGGTCACCTTATCAGAAAAAGAAACCAGATTGGTCAGGCATGATCATCCTTTCATAAATCCATGTTGCCTGGAATTGAATTTAAGCAGCAGCAAAATACTCGGCCAACTTTGCATATGTAGGATTAACTGAATTTAGCTGACCATAAGAAAAAAAATTAAGAGCATACCTTAAAATGATCAAAACCTGAAGAAATGTAAATCTTTCTTCTGTATGTATTGCCCTATTAAATACACTTCCTACTTAAAACATTTATTTTTGGAAACACTTCTAGCATGAAGGATGATGAACTGAAGATGTCTGGCACTACATGAATGCAACATGAGCAAGACATATCACAGGCAGTAGTGCAAAAGTGTCTGTAATTTGCTGGCCTGAATGGGTCTACAACAGATCTTCAAAAAGGTGGCGGCTTCTAAGATGCTAAACTGCTAACAGGAGATTTTCTGGACGTTTTGCAATAACAGAGTGGTGGCGTTCTCCTTTATGGAGAGTGACCGACCTCACAGCCCAGCTACACAGACCCAGCAGGATGTGTCAGGATCAGGCCCCCGACTTTACCATCAGAGCAGATCAGGATCTAACTCAGCATACGCATTACAAAGATTCACTCACGCTCCCTCAGCAATAGCACCTGGCCATTACAAATTTGCTGGTGCATTAGCCCAGAGGCATACTGTTCAGGATGAAAGGCATCTCCCACCAGAGTCAAGCAGGTGTTCACAAGCTGAACGCTGCAGGTGGATCAGAGCATTCCCCGTTTCTTGCCATGCAGCTCCCCAAGAAAACCTGACAGAAAACCCTTCGAATAATTTAAAATGTGCACTGACAGCAGGAACTGAAGTCAGAGTGCCAGACCCAGAACAGGGTCCCCTAAATCTCTCCCTGAGGCAGAGGTCCCACTGGTGCACTCGGCAAGGGCCAGGGCCAGGGCCAGCAACCCAGGTCCCCTCTGTGGCCCTGCATCCCCGTGCTGGCAGCCTGCTGTGCCTCCTGGGCGAGCACAGCTGGGGCAGCTGTCGTTAACAGCCTAATGAACAAAAACCTGCACCTACAGCATCTGAACTGTGACAAAGCAGAGACCAGTTGAGAGAATACTGGATCGACCCATTGATTATGTGTGCAGGTAACGAAGTAATGAGGCCCTGTTTATTCTTCAGCCTGTTGATGCAGTGAGCCAGGGCAGTGATCTCCCAGGGATTTAGCGACAAGACAAACTTCTGTGGCTTATTACTACAGCAATACCAAACCCTTATAATGAATACTTAGTAGCATTTACACTTCCGCATGTTTATTTTCAGGTAAAGAGAGACTGGTGGCTTTAGCCTGTCCCAAGGAGAGGGTGGCATCAAGCATGCCTTACGAGATCTCGCAGCCAAAGCCAAGATGGGGCATCTCTGTTCAAGACCTGGCAAGGAGACCTTGATGTCCTCAATGCCTGGCACAACACTCAGAGCATAAAAACGTTTGAGACTTCAGGAAAAAAACTTGTGGTTCCAGGTCCTCTCATGCTCCCTGTATTTTGAATCACACATCGGCCCAAGAAAACCAGACTAAACGGAACCTTATCATTGGCCCATTTCAGCCTGAGGACTTTAAAATGCTTTAAATGGATGAGTTGTAGGTACTTCTCTGAACACCATCATGCCAAGCTACAAATTATGCTCAAACTATAATTCAAATCTACTATAAAGCAATTGTATTTGCTATGCTTGTTATGCTACAGATGCCCTTTTTCTTTCTTGCCAGTTTATCCCTCCGGACAATGCACTTGTTAATGCACACATGGATCCTGGAATTGCCAGAAGCCTTTACCTGTTTTATCGATTCCCCCCGGATTACTCCAACAACAGTAAAGCAGATTTTCCTAGCAACGAAATCAATAAGACTTTAGATTAAGGTTCCCATAAAATGTTTAATAAATTATATATTAATGGTTTATTGTCTACTAATTACAAATTAATAAGCACAACATTTTTGGCATCTGATTTAGCACACTGCACTGAGGTGTCTGGACCCCACATTTGAAACAGCTCTCAGATTCTCCCTTTCAATGGCTTAATTGAGAAATCTTTACAAATATACTTTATTCTTTGTGTCTGGTATAAGCACAGTCTACGTTTCCACAACACATGTATGGCTTGTAGCATCTTAGTGTCCAAGCATTCAGCACACTGTGGTCTCAAAAGGGAATTCAAAAGGTCAGCAAGAAAAGCAGAGATAAATTTAGTAATATATACAAAGATGACAGGTCAATGGATTAACCCCAAAAAATTCCTAGTATTAACTATACCACTGAATAGTTGAAATAATGGTTAATATTAGTTTGCATAGGCACAGGTTTAAAATGCCAGAAGGGCTCGGGTATTTTTTGGCACATGAGGTTCCTACATGAGCACAGGCTAATGCTTTGGCTGGCACCAACTGTTAGATAAGCCTCTGGCCATTTTTGTTCCTGTTGAGAAACACCATTTATAAACTAGCCTATGAAATGATGTGGGATTGGATCTTATATATACAATCAAACCATTAGGTCCTAACTAGAATAATTCCTGCTAGAGGTGGCCTGTAACTCTGCCCTTCCAAACTACACTCTAGAAACTGATCTGTCTCTTAGGACCCTAGACTTCACTGTCAAAACTGTCTTAAATCGTTTGGATCTTCTGACATACCGGTTTCTAAACTGTACCAAATGCAGAAGACTACAAAATAAACTCAATATGACCTTAACCGTGCATATGTAAATTACAAGTGGAAATTTCTAGATCAACTTTAATTATGTTTAATTAATGTTGCAAAGTAGATGGGTGAAGTTCTGGTTAATGGGTTATGCTGCTTCTCAAAAAAAGCAATAGAAAATATGTATTATTCTAATGTATTTACACTCACACATGTATCTACCTCATCTAGGAAGAATGGGTAAATGAATTTGATTTATCTTCAAATTACACCTTGTGTGCTCATATGGAACAACATTAATTGACATTGGTAAAGCATTCATAAGGTGAAAAGTACTGTGTCAGGAATCACCCGTACTCTTATTACCTGTTGCACAGTTCACGCAGTATTTATCATTTGTGGTTAGTGAAATTATTTTGTTAGAAGTGGATCACTTTGAAACTCACAGAATTAAATGTAGGAATCTTAATCTATTGGCAATCAAGAAAGCATTCTCTGCAGTTTCAATCCTGCAGACTGCTAGGCAGTTATTAAGTTAGGAAAAACTTACAGTGCCCTTCATCAATACTGGGTGTAAGAGAGAATTCTGCTGCAGTATGAATGATAGAGGTGTTCTCAGACAGAAGCATTCTCAATGATACTATTGCACCACTGGTGACTAAAAAACAAACAGGCATAATATTTCAAAAACAAGTAATCTATAAACATTGATGATAACTATGGTAACAGCAGTGTAGCAGAGCAGGATTTAGTCCTTAACATATGCAGTATGAAGGAAGCTGCATATTCTGAATCAGTGACTTGAACTTCATTTCAATTATGATTTAAGGTTGTTGGTTAAATGATTACAATGTATAAAGGATTACAAGAAGGAAGTTATTAGCTACATCCGCAGAGCTGTAATGGCAAACTCCTGTTTTTCAACTGGTGAAGGACTAATCATCACATAAGGAAGGAGAACTGCACCGCACCTGTATGAGGGGCAGCCAGCCTTTGACACACAGGCCACTTAACTTCCTGCTGCTTGATTTGAAAAATAAAAGCTTTTGGTTTAGAAGATAGATGCCTATCCTCAAGGACACCAAAAAGACACTACAGTATCTCTGAGAACTGAAGTGGGAAAATCATGAGATTAAACTGGTCTTCAACCTGGGTATTACTTCTGATCCCACATTACCTGGAGCTGAGCTTTAGCAGTAATGTCAAGGTAATCTCAGCTCATGACAAAAAAGGTTTACTGCATTCTTTTTGCCTTTATACAAATATTCCAGCCACCCTTCCACACTGAGATGCTCCCGTCACAAAGGTTTGCACAAATGTCTGCTTGTATTTTTAAAGTCTGGAGTTCTATCACAGACATTTAGGAAATGCCTCTCTTTTGTTCCCCACAGAGTAGAAATACAAACCAGCACTTACTCTGCTTGCAGTAAATGATTGTGAGATTCACTGAGAGCGATGAACATATGGCAGAAGTCATAAACATACAATAGAAATGTGGTATCCTGTGCTGAAGCCTGAAGAGATTTCAAACAAGTAATGTGCATGCCTGCCAAAGGAAGAGATCCCTGCATGCATCGTGAAAACTCCAGGTCTCATGTTAGAGGGGTACCAATATTTTCTCCTTCCTATACACAAGACCATGAACAGGTGGCATGGACTCCGCAGCCCACTGGCATCTACAGCCGATATTCACTTTACACACTACTACTGAGAGGAAATGCAGCATGTCAGCCGTGTTTTTCTTAATTGCTTCAGCAGATTCACAACAGTGATTTTTTAGTTACCTGTCAGATGTTCCCGATAAAAGTATTCTTAGCCAAGTCTAGTTTGTTAAGTCACTTTTAGCTTTTCCACAGGAAAAAATAGTAGGGTCTACAACAGAAGAAAAATGAAAGTCCTACCTCTACTACTGCTTTGGCATCCAGTCTAAAGTTGAAATCTCCAAAGACAAAATAGGAAACTTTCTCAAACCGCTGATCTATAATTCTGGAAAAAAACCAAAACAAACCAAATCTGTCATTCAGCTTGATGTACATGCAAGGATGCACAAATACACATATCTTATCTTCTAAGCACAATCTCAGAAATAATTATCAGAACAATCAAAACTACCAGTTTATACTGGAACAATATATTAACAATGTTTTGGGGCTGATTTTCTTTGCTTAGGCAAATCTATCTCCAACCCCAGTAAAACATTGCATTTGATTTCCCCTGTCTGGCTGAAAGAGCAATTTAGCGGAAAGCAAGTTTGCAGCAGTTAGTACAAATAATGCAGACGTAGCATCTGTGCATCACAGAAATCTTGAGGGCATCATGAAGGTACTCCACACCTTTGAAAGTTTAAGTATATGGCTTTGGGCTGGGCAGCTAAGAATTAGGAACCCCAAATTAGTGGGCAGTTCAGAATACGTCTACCTTTCAGTTTACTTATCAGTAACATCATAGAGTACTAACAAACACTGGTAAACATTAAGAACTATAGGAAAAGTGACATGTTAGGGTTAAACATTAATCATCATGGCTGAAAGAGACTGATCTACAAAGTTTTTCCTGGCTCAGTTATAGTTCTCTGAAAGACAGTTCTCTTTTTTCTTCAAAGCACATTCTTACTGAGGTTGTAGCCAACACCTAAAAGGTGATCTTTCCAGATGTGGAGTAAAGGCTGACTTTTTTTCTCAAGCCTTTGCTCAGTACTAAACAGGGAGATAAGGCATTACTGTTCATCTTTCAAATCTTGTATTATTAAAAACTGTTATTATATTACTAGCTTATCTACTATTAACAACAATTGGCTGGTACTCCCAACGATGTACCGGCATTTGGAAATCGACCGACTCACACTTGACTTCAGAACAGGAATCAATACAATTAATTTCCTATCAGTAGCTGAGGAAGGTACGAAATACCTGAAATGCAACTGCTACAGCTACAAAGAATATACACAGACAAAAAGCACAAAAAACTGCAGTGGTATACTGAATGTACAATATATAAGAAATAAGGAACAAATGCAAGGCAATACACTGTGTACATTCTGGGAATATATAAAGATGTAAGCGTGACGATGCCAGCAACCCCAACTGAGCCAGAGACGGGGACCCATACAGATAGGTAAAGGATTATAAAGCAAGGCAGAGTAAGTAGGCTTCCTGGAACAATACTGCATAGCAAGGAGGCAGTCATTTCAAATGGCTTTAGAACTTTTAACACATTACATCCATTCAGACTTTTCAAAGTTATAAAGAAACATGTAACATTGGCTTTACAGTGAGATACCGCTTTTCCTCTTAAAACATCTTCTTAAAACATCTCACATTTTTAGTCAACAGTAATCTATTACGTAAGGAATATTATTTTGTTGAAAAATTAATGTACATTGGACCTAAGGCAGTGATCATCTGAAGAAAAATCTCTTGCAAAGACTTACCCTTTTCTGGTACGAAAATCTCCAAATCCCCCATTCAGCTGACAAATTATTGCAGGTACTGTTAATAAATACTGTCTAATGTCAGCTCCCAGCAAGCACTGAGAAAAACCTGTCACTCTTGGCCTGTACATAACAGTAGTTTGATCAGTGCCCTCATGGCACATTAAAGGAAAATGAGAACTTAAAAGTTAAACCATTTACATTACCACAATTTGCTGACACTATCATTGCAAAATCTGATATGCAGCTTATACATAAGAAAAACTGATTTTGCTTTGCCAGCTTTCCTGATTCATATCTTAGTCTTGGCTTTGCTCATTGCCATTTACTGATGACAAAGAAATGACAGATATTGCAGGAATGACATCAAGGTCTAGAGAAAGCCTCTTAAAACAAATTGATATTATGAGAATGATGCCTGTGATTGTATTATGCAAAGACGGATCTTCCAAATAAACAGACTGTTCCAAAAATAGCCAGTTCAAATGTCTCCTAACTGATGAACGAAACAGCTGATTAGTCTGCTTCCGATAAATTAATTAAAATTCAGTCATTTCATAGTCTTGTACATTACCTGATTTAAACATGATTTGCATACAAATCAATACCAGCTTTCAAATTGGTAATTTTAACCAGTTGCCCCCCTTGTAGTTTGACTTGTTGGACATTTTAGAAACAGCATCTCATGACAGACTGAAGTAAAATAGTCCAAACGTTGCTTCTCAAGAATGATGCTTTAAGTGACTTCTGACACATCTTCTTTTCACAGGCAGTGAAATTTAGGCATGCATTAAAATTACCAACAGTGGTGCAGCAAGGGATATCCACATTTCTGTACTTATTAAATGACCTGGGATACCTAACAATAAAATATGCTTTAAATGACTCAACTTAATACATGTATGTAACCTACTATCCTTGCCATTGGAACTTATTATCAGTTCAAGAGTCCCCAAATCTTAGAATTATTTCAGCAATTTGGTCTCTGATAGTTCGATTTTGAAATACTTGCTGGTGCCTACAATTGCAATGAATCAATGGCACAAGAACTAATCTTCTTGATTGTGCTTTTAAAATCTGACTCCAAGTTAGCAAAGGAGATGGCAATAAAGAAGAGTACAGCAGTATTTCCTCCCCCAGGGACGTGCAGGAGAATCATCCGGCACTGGGGGGATTCGGATAGAAACTGAGTACTGCAAAACACCGTCAGTCCTGTCAGGACGAAGGGCACACAGCGAAGGTGTTAGGACCGGAGCAAGAGCCAAACAAAAGCGTTCCATTCCTTCTGTTTCCATGCTCTAAGCCACAAATATATACAGTTCATCATGCGTACAAGTAAAGGAGAACTCAGAAGACACTTTCTTTTTTAGGAAGAATGAGTGCTTGCAAATGAGCTAGGAAGGCTTCAAAATCTGCGTTATTCTACTTTGCTATTTGTTTCTATAACAATACCCTTCCTTTAACCATGAATCAAATAATCCTTTAAAAATGTTGCCATCAATCAGTCAACGGAGTGATAAATCTGAATTGCACAAAAAGAAAGCAGCCAACCTATGTCACCAGCATTAATCTTACGTTTTTAGTGGGAGGACCTAGTGCCACTTCCTTCAACTTGTACTTGCTGACTACCAGATTATCCCGTAGGGCTTCAACGTACTTTAAGGCTCTATCCTTTCCTGTACAAGTTTTCTAAATAGCTTGTGACAAAAGAGGTGACTTGGGTAAAAATTTCATGGCTGTAAAGAAGCTACAAATATTTCACTTCCACAACTCCATATGCTAGAGCAAAGAAAAAATCACCAATGCCTTAACTAGCTGTGCTGCTTGTTGTGACCTATGCAGGGCCATCAAGAGATGATGGGCAAGCACGACGTATCCAATGGTTGAATGCAAATGAATTACAAAACTTTTCCAACGGATTACAGCCCTTCCTTTCCAGAAAGAGAAGTCTTCCCTTTGAAAAGGCTAGAAGAACGCATTCGCCCTTCTAATCCTTTGTTCTTGCTCCAGAAGGTATCGCTTATGAGCAAAGAGCTTATTTGCACTTAGAACATACTGAAGAAGTATCTTTTACTTCCGCGCGTTTTGGAAATCAAAATAACAAATTCAATATGGCAAGTAAGGACTGCTGGGAAAAATGCATGCTTATAACTGGGTTTATTGATGACCTTGTTGAACTCTGAAGCACGCAAAAAGAAATGCCATAGACGATTTCTCTTCTACTGGTTCCACAAACACAGAACTTTTAATTGCATAAGGAGTCCTTGATAATAGTAATAGATTCTTCACAGAAGATATTACCTTAATTATTTTGACAGTTTCAAACTAATTCTACATTTTTAACCGATGGTGCTACACTGAAAGTCTTCTGGACTGGCTGGGTTATTCTCTGTTTCTTTCCAAATTTTGTTGTAATTTGAGAAGAGGCAGACCACAAACAGTTTTTGAAACAAAGCTGAACAGCTTTTTAGGTGTGACAGGACAGTAAAAGAAGGAAACACTCAAGCAATTGTAACATTCAAGTAAAGTTTACACTCAAAGTTAATCACATGCTTAAATGTTTTGATGAGTCAGATCCATGGTTCACACCTTTTTTTAAGGAGTAAACTTCACTGGCAAGGGTGCAAAATAATGTTAAATTACTATAGCAATTTCTTGGCTGCAAAATAAATACGTTTAATACTTAATTTGGTCTAACAGCTGCAGGTTGCCTCACACTGGATATCAGCAACTGCTTTACCAACAGAGAAAGAAGCTACTGTGTCTGTACTGGAAATGTACTTGCTCTGCTGTGTCAGTAACACTTCCAGCAAAACAACCGCCACTCATCAGTGCTTTTGAGCACGGCAGTCCCCTGACACATCTTCCCAAAGACCTGTGACAAAAACTGTCTGTTATTCTGGGTGCATCAGGAGAACGATGAGAAACCTCCAAAACCCTCTGAGCTATGATGCTGCATAGCTTTCGCTTGAGCTAGATTGGCCTGCCTGCGATGAAAGCATTACCCAACTCCCAGCAGGGGCCGGCCGGACTCGTGCAGTAGGCAAACCTGAAGAGAAGCCAAACAAATGCCACAGTAGAAGCAAATGCGCAGGGTTTGGTCTTGGAGCCTAGGATATGTAAAATTACTCTGACGTAAAGACAGACACCTCAGTCTGGATGGCAGCATCAGCTGAATGGATTGTGAAGGGTAAGTTTTTTCAAAGCCATTTAGGAGATCTGGATACCATATTCCCACCAAGTCTAAAATGAGTAAGAGGTAGAGGTTCCTCTTCTCCTCGATACTACTGGAAATTTGGGTCTAGTCATTAACTTTACTCTCTACACAGAACACCAAAAGGAATTGCTTAGTGCAATCTTAAAATGAACAATTCCATGCTATTGGAATCACTGAAATACTTTTGTAATTTACTTTATTTTAAAGTACTCATTACAGTAGTTGAAGTTACTTTATGAAATGCACCCTCTTTTATAAAAGCTAAATGGTGTACTGTATACACGTTTCAAAGCACTGAAATTCAGCCAGAAAATGATAGGGCAGTCAGAAACATGACCG